AAAAAAAAAAGATCATGCTTTGTGCAGTTTCACTTCTACCTGGTGAAGTTCTCCACTCCGAGAGGCTCTTTTTACTTAGTCATATCTCCTTTCCCAGCAAACTAGTGCAAGGGACAGTGGGCAACATCCGGACAGGCAGCATGGCTCAGATGTCAATGCCACCATCCTTGTTTACACTGGTCTGCAAACACATTGGTTTCACTAACTCTGACCAACATTGTAACCCAGGGGAAAAAAAAAAAAAAAAAGTGAGAGACTACAAGAGATCATATCCCAAGACCACAACTGTACCAACACTCTTGCAAATATGTGCCTACTGCAATAAACCCCAGGAGCCTGAATCTCCAGCTGAGATGTACACTGCTAGTTACTGAAAGCCAAGCAGCACTGTGAGAGTCTCACCTGGTTGTCTTTGTCCCCACATGCTGGATAAGTGGGGCTGTACTGTATCCCCAATAGACAGCTTCTGCAATTCTGTTCCAATCTCTTATCCTGAGGCAAGTGGTGTTCCTCTCACCCCTCAGTGGAAGCCAGAGCACTGCAATAAGAGCCCAGGGGAGAGCCATGTGCATGAGCAGAGGACAAAAGAATAGGCCTTATGATGATGCGAGGCTGAGAGCCATGGTATTCTTCAGCTTGGAAAAGCACAGGCTCAGAGGTGACCTGGCAGCAGCCTATAAGTACATTGGGGTGTGCATCAGGATCTGGAGGAACGCCTGTTCACCAGAGCACCCCAAGGGATGAAAAGGTCCAATGGTCACAAACTCCCAGACCATTTTTGACTGGACACGAGGAAAAATTTCTTTACTGTTCAAGTCCAAGGCCTGGAATAGACTCCTTCCATAAGTGGTGCAGGCACCTACTCTGGACTCTTTCAAGAAAGATTTGGATGCTTATCTTGCTGGGATCCTTTGACCCTAGCTGACTTCCTGCCCTTGGGGCAGGGGGCTGGACTCAATGATCTTCCAAGGTCCCCTCCAGCCCTAATGTCTAGAAATAACCTCTCCTTGGTCAACAGCAGTTGGTCTAGTCTCCCAAAGCCATGTCAATAGGACTGCTCCCACAGTCCTAGAAAAATTGCTAAGGAGAGATATGCTTGGTCCTTGCAGCTTAAGATGCACAACCACCAGGCCAGAAATTGAACACACAACTGATGTGGCCACTGCAAGTGCAGAGCCACAAGGTAAACTGGTGCGGTCTCAAAATCCCAGTTCAAGAAAGCAGACAGCGTTTCTAATTCTGTCAGTGGTTAGCCCCACTTGGCTGGGATCTGAGCTCCTGAATGCAGCAATGGTTAGTGGTTACCCACAAAACTGCTGAGCGCTTCAAGACATGTGGATATAACAATGGAGGACTGAAGCCAGCTTAGAATTGGGGTTTAAACCAAGAGACCAAAATTAAATAAGTTTAACTTAAGTGGGCCCCATGTTACAGGCTATAGAAATACCTGACAAAAAGTAGGAGGGAGGAAATAATCATTATGGCTAGATGAATTTCATAGACACTCCTGTTCCTGTTTCAGTAAATAAAAAATTCTCATTTACTTAGGGGGCTGTGAGCAAGCACTAAAATGTGGACGGACCACACCTGCATCTGTACCACACGGCCCAGGTGAGCTCTGCTGCACGTGCCCTCTGCCCACCCTGCCCCCCGCCCCCCCAGACCCAGCTGGCTCCTGGGACCTAGTACACAGGCAATCCCATATTACACACACACACACACACACACACACACACACGAGTAAGACTTCATTTTGAGCTGTTATGGAATCACCTCTATATACACACACTACTCAAAAAACAAGTCAGGACAAAATTGTTTTTTGAAATAAAGTTAAAATATTATAGTAGGTTTGATTTTTAGTATGATTTTTTTTATCTATAATTTGTTAAAATGATATCTTGTGAAAGATCATGTGTGCAGCCCTCAACAGCTCGCCAAAACTCATTTAGCGGCCCTCCAACTGAAAAGAGTGCCCATCTCTACAGCTTCTGCAAATAGGGCAGGCAGGACCCTTGGCTACAGAGGAGAACAAGCACGAGCACCAAGCCTCTAGGCACTCACAGAAAAAGAGTCAGTCCAGGGTCTGCCTTTCTGCAAGACCAGAAAGCAGCAATGTTTTGTGCTTTCACAGCCCTCTTTCAACAAAGAGATCGAATCACACTTCATACGGTTACACTCTGCCAGCACCTCACAACTCCAACCACAAGCAAGTCTCCG